AGTTGCTAATTAGAGCCAGATTAAACGCTTGTCTGGGGAACCATTTTCCTTGCCGTTCCTCGCCGTGCTCGCTGGAGGATGAGTGCGAAGAGAAGAGGAGAGGAGGCTGCCGTGGGCGGGGGCCGCGGCGGTGGCGGAAAAAAGGCAAGGGTGGCTAAGGTTGCATCGGGGAGGGGATAACTCGACTCCGGTTGGAGGCAGGACCGAGCTTAATGAAAAGTGTTTGCCCCGTAAAAGTTAAGATTAATTGGCGCTCGGGGGGTGGTTACCGCGGTAATCAGCCAGTGCCAGTGGTTTTCAAACGTAGCGCAGCCCTTGTTTCACCTTACGTCGCATCTTCCTTCCTACTCACTTCGTTCTATTCCTTCTCTTTAATCGGCGATCAGATTTTTATCGCTTCTTCCAACTATTGTACTCGTTATACCTACACATATGTATATGTTCAATTTCATTCGATTCGCTACCCATTCGACTCTACCGTATAGAGAGGTAAATACTACTTGAAATAATAGGCTGTATAACGTTGATCGATAGGTGTACAAGTACCTAAATATGTACAGTATATACGTTTCGCACAGTTGTTGATCTCCGTTCATCTCCGTTGATCTCCGTTGATCTCCGTTGATTGGGCGCTGCTCTCCAGCCTTGGTTTCGATGTTCAATTATCACTCGAGTAGGTGCGAATGGTAAACTTGAAATGGAATCGTTTCCCAGCTGAGAAATTGTGCAGTTTTCAATTTCGGTTGAGCATTGCTGAAACGAGAGGTTAATTTGGCGACACCTAGTTTCATTAACAACGCCATTAAAAGTAATGGGCGGTGAGGGCCGAACTCGACGATGCGGCCACATAGGGGCCGGAAGATTCTAATTAGGAAATAGACCAGCTCGATCCGAGAGAGGGCCGAAGAGTGAAAGAGCCGGAAAGTCGAGTAGACGATCGTATTGGAAGAGTTGGGAGGGTGGTTGAGAGCTAAATACGCTGGGTGTATATTTTGAATTATTCGTTTGTTGAACCACGTTGTAACGTGTTGATGAAGCGGTAGATGATTAAACGTGAGTGCTGGAGGGGATGGTAAAAGGGTGTTTTCAGGAGAGTGAGATGTGGAAATTTAAGGAGATGTGCTAAGGAGATTTAAATACTTATGTATAGTACCTATTATGTAGGGTGTACATACATACATATGTTAGGTGAAATTGTACGGATCTGGTAAAGAAGAAGGATATATGTAAGTATATAAGTATGCAAGTAAGTAGGTATCCATTTAAAATGCCTTTTAGGCAAATCGGTATAAATGCTTGTTATATCATTGATACGTTACACATTATCGACTGATTGTTATCAATACTTTGAACCGTTTAAAATAAATGGAATCTAGGAAAGGGGATAAAGTACGATTAACGACATTTACATATACACGGAGCAGTGGCAAATCGATACATGACACCAATTAAGATTTATCTACCGTCGGTGATAGCTAGCTAATCGAGGTGTTGATCGGGCAATCTTATCCCTGCGATAAGAACGGATGAATTAACCATCAAATCGTTAATTACTTTTGAGTTTTGGATAAGAAGACTTTAGACACGGTATTTGTCCTAAATTTTTATCGTTAAATATATGTGAAAGTTGGACAACTCACCAGTTATAATTATCTACCGATTAATTTTAGTTAATCGAACTTTGTACTCGTGGCAAATACACACCTACAGAGAAAGATATTTTACGTACTTAAGTATTATATTAGAAGCACGTAGGTATTTAGCCTATAAATAACTAAATCTGACGATTGTTGAACAATTCTTTAGCTGTTTTATAGCAGGTAGGTATTGTGTATAATCTTTTCTAATTAATCGACGAACCGCGTACAAGCGATAATACGTATGCGTGCCTTATTACGATTGGATCTTTGGTAAAACTGGTGACGGAAGGACGGCAGCAGTGCGTTTAGGTACATATAGTAGGTAAGTAAGTAAGTATGTACCTACATACTTATATGTAGGTGGCACATACTTGAGGTTTTCCGACGATCTCGGCATCAAGCAAGGGCAAGAGGGAAAATAAGCTTGGCTTATCGTGACGGAGCATAATCACCGGTTGAAAATCTTTGTGTTTACTCTCGGCAGTTCAGGACGAAAGGTGCTACCTACTTACCTACCTGCGTTTACACGTGCGTGCGTGCGTGCGTGCGTGCGTGCGTGTGTGCGTGGATATGTGTTTCCAATACGCAAGTACATACTTATTTAGGTAGTTCAATTGGAATGTTAAAACGATGGATGTTTTCTGAAATTTCGAAAAGGAAGGAAGAACTTTGTCACGTATCGCGGAGTGGAGGGGAATCTGATGTACGTAAGTAAGTAAGTACATACATAAATGCTATATGTACCTATATGAATCGCGACATTAAGATGGATGTATCAGAAGAGACGTTGAAAATTTTTATTTCATCCATACATACTTGCTTACATATGTACATAGGTTGGACGTGCTTCGATCCCTAAATAAATATTCTTCTCTCTGTATTATTTGGTTAAAAAGCGGTGACCGGTGAACTTGTACCGTTTGCCTACATGGACTCGTACCGGTCGCGCTGCGATTTAAAACATCAGAGGGACACGCAAAGATTATGGGATGACGACAAACTGGAGAACTACGGCGATCCATCATCCTTTGTTACACGTAAATTCGTTGATTCTAGTTTGTTAGAGGAAAGTTATTTTTCCATTAACGTATTCTCGTAGGATACCTACTTTTGTTGAAACGGATGTTTCGATAAGGGAACGATATTTGAGAAAAGTAGATACGACGACGTTAGACTAGACGCGTTAAAAACGAACTACATACATAGTTTATGCTACATAGATATTTTTATCAGTGGGATAAGCAAATGCGTCGTAGGACCCACGTAAAATATCGCGCGACAACCGATAACAGGCCGATTACTCGAAAACTGGGCGTGATACCTATTACGCGGCTATTAGGTGCTTGATAAAGCGACAGATATCGGCGATATTTCCTTCGGAAGAATTGTGAAGGAGATCGTGAATGCACCACGAACGGAAGAACGATAGCGCAGTTGGCCGTTCGGTTGAAACGAGAATGGAAAAATAGGTGAGATGTTTCGATGTATAATACGTAGTAAGTAAGTACCTACTTAAGTAGGTATATACATAAATACTTAAGTACTTACATACCTATTGTTTAGTGCAGTAGCTGTGTTTCATCGCAAGCGTAGTATCGGCTCGCAACGAAACTTATTTAAGTACTTACTCTTAGGTAGGTATCATCCGTTGTTATTTCTCCCCGGGAGTTTCACGTGGCGGCCGCGATGTACATATTCTGTAATCTGGTTTCACAGAAGAAAGAATACATATTTCTCTGCCGCAGACCTCTCTCATCCCTCACGATCGCCGCTTTCTGTTTTCGTTGCCGGTGTCGGCAGCAGATAGTCCGATAAGAGATAGGTCGGAACGAGTGTGGAGGAGACATCTCGCTCGCGTGCACGGGAGAACAAGGTGCAACTAGATCCTAGTTTCATACTGGAAATCCGCCGCCCGGGGATTGAGGCTGCGAATGCCTGAGGCCTTGAGGCGGGGGTGGAAGGTAGATGATGGGGAGGAGGGGTCGGTGAACGGTCGGGAATCGGGAATCGGGAATCGGGAATCGGGAGTCGAGAGTCGGGAGTGTCG